ATTTATATAACTAATCTGAGAAACTAAGGCATATAACGAATAAAATTAGCATGCTACTGCTTTATATGGTCAAGATAAAGTATCCTTTTTTTCCTACATAACTACTGTATTGAGGGAATATAAAGAAGAGCAGAAGCTTCCATCTCCAAACATCTCAGTGGAGATTTTTGAGCTTTTCACCTATCAATTCCAGAAACAGTCCCATTATTTAAATGTTAAAAGACAATTAATATCACTTTAATGATACCAATTGAATGCGTTTGAGGTTCTGATAAATTATCTCTTCTTTCATAGTGTTGGTCATATGTAGAATTTCTTCTTAGTGCTCAAAAGAAATGACGGGTAGTTTGGATAAGGATTGGTGGTTTTTTTACTTCCTCCCCAAAAGAGCTGATGTTTTTGGCTGACTGGTTTTTTTTGGTGTGTGTGGTGGGGGGGCGGGTAAGGGAAGAGAAAAAGGCTGTATATAGAATTTTTGAATAGGCCTACACTAAAATTCTTCCTTGACCAATGAGGATGGGGGCTGGGAGAGAGAGAGAGGTGAGGTGGAACAACCGAAGTGTAATAATATCTGTGTAGTTTTAAGAAATGTACAAATTCTCCCGTCCCCCGTCCCCCTCCTCGTATGTGCTGGTACCTCTGGACGATTCAGAAGCCATTTTAGAATTCAGAAAGCAAAATATGTGAGTTCCACTTGTGCTTTTGCAGGTGCTGTGGTGGCAAGGATAACCTTTGCTCGCTTGCCGGGTGTGTTACCATGCTGTTATTTAATGTCTTTGAGGATTAAAGACAGCACAGAAAATTCCAAACCCACATCCTAACACCTGAAGCTCGCACCATGTTTCTATAGCAGATGGCAAAACACTGCACTGGAACCTTAATTTACCAAGTCAATATCCAGACCTGAGGAGGTTTTATTCTTTTGAGGCATCGCCGAAGATCAAAACTCGATTTTCGGATCTTTTCCGGGTTGAAAAAACAAGACCCCTTCTAGGTGTTTTGCGCGCCCCAGCCCCACCCAAAGTCCCGGCGGGCCTGCAATTCTCGGTGTTTCACGCTGAGGGTCTTTCCGAATGAACGTGCATTTTCACTCCTGGACGTCCAGTAATTTATAGGGGGAAAGGCAATACCCTAGGGCAACTTCCCGAATAGTCTAAGGGGCTGAGAAGACTGAGAGGCATTTGCCTCCTCGCAGTTGGACGCGAGGCTCGGAGCCCGGCTGTCCTCAGCTGTCATGGGGGGAGGAGGAGGGAGTGCTGGCATTGGCATTGGGCATGGAGTTGCTCCAGCCACCGCGCCGTGTCCCGCCGCCAGCTCACCTCTGCAGAGAGCTAGGCACTCACCGGTCCCCTTACCCTGCTCCCACGGCGCCCTCCGGCCCCAGTCCTCAGGCACAGGTCGCCGGAACCATCCAGTGGGATGGCCGCCGCCTCTTCGGGGACCGCTGCCTGAGGGCCAGGGCCGGGGGACCCTGGCCGCCCCGGTAGCCTGCAGCTCCCGCGGCGCTGCGGCGGCGGCCGGGAGGCGCCGGGGCCCGCTCCCCCTCCCCGCCCCCCGCTCCCGCCTCCTGCCCGCTGCGCCGTGCGCCCGCTCGCCCCAGCCGGCTGGCGCAGCAGCGCACACACTCACTCCGAGGGCGCCTCCAAGGTTACCCGCGGGGTGGGGGCTGGGGCAGGCTCCGGCCACTGGCCTCCTCCGCTGCTTTCCTATCGCCGCGGCCCTTCCGCCGCTCCAGGGCGACCGGGATCCAAACCCCAAAGCAGAAGAGGCTCCAAAGTCCGGGGAGGGAAGTCGAGCTGGGAGGCAGACAGGCGTCCGGGCGGGGGGCGGCCTGAGTTGGCTCTGGGTGCCCGGGGAGCCAGGTCAGGCGAGGTCGCGGCAAGAGGGGGCTGTGGCTCCGGCGGGCGCGCTCCGGGCCGCGCAGGCTGGGCCGGGGGCAGCGCGCAGGGGCTGCAGGCAGCACCGAGGCGCCCGAGGCGCCCCGGGCCCGCTGGGGGGCAGAGACAAGCGGGCGGCCAAACCTGCCGAGGAAACTAACTAAATAAAAGGAGACTGTTATTTAAGGCGCGGAAATTTGAAATATTTGGACAGGAAGAGAAAAGAAAAGAAACCTTAGCGAGGGAGGGGAAAAAAAAAAAAAAAACAACGCGAGCTAACGGTTTTGAAACTCCCCCACCCCCACCCCGGGCTTTTCTGCGCGCCCTGAGGGAGCTCTGGGCTCTAGCTTCCTCACTGGGGAGCCGGGAGCTGCGTTTGGAGTCTGGAGAGTTTTCGAAGGGACACAAAGGATGTCTTCGCAGCCCCTCCATAGAGGGCTTGGGTTGGCTATGGGCAGAGCTTTACCGCGGGTCTCAGGCTGAAAGATTGTCTCCTGCCTCTCACTAGGTCCCTGCGTGGATCTGTTTTTTTGGAAGTGTCGTGTAAAATCAAAACATTCTCGAGAGACCAAGAGAGGGACTCTCCCCATCTGCAGCCTTTTGATGAAGGTCACTTAGGGCAGTCAGGAAGCCTGCGAGTACGACCCTTGCTCGCTCCAGCACTGTGCTTCTGGACTATTACTTCTAACCCCGGCAAAAGCCGAAAACACCTTTTTGGGAACTGAGATTTCGAAACTAGTCCCGGGCCACGGATTCCACAACGTTCGTTTGATCAACACGATAAGGGGAATTTATAGTATTACCAATTGAACTGCTTTCCCGGGACAGAATTCTTTTATCTATTTATTAATCACCCAGCGTGGTGTGTGTACGAGCTCATCACACCATTGCGAGATGCGTAATGTTTATCAGAAAACTATTGATTCACTGCCGAAATATGGTAAAATGCAGTTTGCTTAGTGGCTTGGGGACCAGAACGTGGACTAAGGTCCTGTTAGTGCTCTCCCCCCACCCCCTAGACGTAAGCCCGGATTCAGTTTACTGGGCAAAGTCTGAACCTGAGTTTCCCGACGTGGATGCGGACGCAGTGAAGAACTGAATTGGAGAGCGCATCTCTGCTTAGTATCCTCCATCCTTTCTATAGCGTGGTCCCTTGGGGCTCTGATTATTGTATTAATTAGCACTTGCCTCTCCAGTCTGCATCTGAATAAGTTAAGACCCTTCCCCGCCTCAGCTCGCTGCACACAAGACCCCATCAAACTCAGCAGCACCGTTTCTTCCATCCTATACATTTCGGCATATTCAAGAGTCTTACTGAATATTGTCGAGGTTTCTGAGAGATTGAATAATGGCTTTTCATATTTCCTAGAGGGGACCACATAACTCATTTCTAAAATACTTAGATTAGCAAAGCTGTTTCCTGCGAAGAGCCAGAGAAATGTGGCGATGTTTTAATGCCTAGCAAATTTTAGGCTGTTGAGAGAGATAGAGCTCCCTCTCTCCTTATTGTGCTCCGACCACGTGAGAACAAAGCAATTGCAGAAATACTTCTGTTTAGCTTTATGAACGTCCTATGTCTTTATATTCGAAATCTCTAAAGAGAAATTGTAATGCCGAGACTTGGTGGATACTGAAAAGTCCATTAAACTCGACTTTAAATTCAGAAACGTCCATTTTTACAGTTGCAACTTGTAAGAACGGTTGTTTTTATTTTTTAGGAAGTCTTGTGTTTAGAAAATCAGCTTACTCAAGCAGTGTATTTTGTATATTGATTCTAGTTTTTAAATCCAAAATGCAACACTTTTTCCTTCAAAACTATCTCAATTTCTACTTTTTTCTAAACTTTAAAATAAATGTTTTAAAGTTAATTTCATGTTGCTGTCAAAAATAAATTTATTCAGTGACTTGTGGTTAGAGGTGGCAGAAGTTGAAGTCTTGTTGCACTTAGGGAAGGTGAACTTTAGTGCTAAATGAAAAGGATTAAACTTTTTCTCCTATATTCTTTTATACTATCATGGAAAATAAATTATTGCTAACCACTTGCCTGCAACCACTCCAATCCTTGTTAGGGCAGGCATCAGAACCATGTCCTTCAATAAACCTTGAAGTATTTTGTTCTTTTTGGAGCAAGGGCAGGGAGCTTATGAAGCAGAAGGAGAGAACTTTCACATACAACATCTTTGGTCATGTGGGAGATGATGAATTAAGTACTTATAAATTTATAAACGGTAATTGCATTGAAATCCTTTGGTGAAAATCTTTAATTAAAATGACAGAGTAAGTAGTAGATGCTTGAAAACTCTCTTGGAAATTTGATGTTTCTATTTCATTCAAAATTTTTCATTTTTAGCTAAATATATTCTTAAAAAGATTTTATATGCTTTTTCTAAAAAGTTTTGTGAGAATCAAGTACTATATGTAGGAGTGGCCTATTTATTTCTTGAAAAAGTTTCTATTTATTATACTGAAGCCCCTAAATTAGTTATGACCCTTATATGTATTTTATATATATTTTTCTTATTGAGTTTTTTATCCCCTAAACATTGGTATTTGCATTATATTTTAATAGTTAAACATTTTACATTTCTGACATTCAGAGAGAAAAAGCCAGTGTTACACTTAGTATACTTATGGTATAATTTTTTGGAAATATAGTGTTTAACCAATTGTTTCATTTTGTAATTTTTTTTAAAACTCAACTAATGGGAAGGACTTTTAAGGTGGCATTTTCTTTTAAAAGTGGCTTTTACAGCTAACATATATTTCTTTTCAGATCGCTACTTCTGAAACCTGTATTCAACTATTCAACTTTGAGAAAAAGGGAAAATTGAACATTAGGATAAATTCACACTGAAATAATTTCAGGTTTGATCTTCAAAACATATTGTTCTTATTCTGTTTTAAAGCAGAAATATTAGCCACCAAGTAAAATCTTTTGGGGGAGGCATGAGGAGAGGAAGAAAAGAATAACTGAAGCATCAATAGAATGTGTCCAGTTTTGCAATTGGTCTACTTTTTCTAATGTCAAGACTTAAAACATCATCATCTTTTAGTACAGTTCTCCTTAGCAAGTGGCAAATTATGTGGGGGTTATAGAGGAGTGGAAATCACAGAAAAACATTGTCCTGTTTTGGAAAAGTGTTTTAATTAGGCAAAAGAAGCATCAGGACAAACCATTTTTAAAACAAAGTCTCCAAGTTGGGTATTGAGACGGGCAAAGGGAGAAGCAAGGAAAAAGTCAAGGAAAGATAAAATATTCAGAAGAAAGCCAAAGCTATTTGCAATTACATGTTAGAACTCAAGATTTTGCAGGTGAAAAAGATGTTGCTTAAATATATTCGTAATCCTGTAGTAAGATTTCCACTTAGCAATTTCAGCAGATTTAACTAGCTGCTTAAAATATGACAAAACTGAATTTTAACAAATGATATTAAAACAGGACAGCCAACCATTTAACTGACAAGATAGAACGCAGTGTAGGAGAGCCCTCCCCACATTCATTGCAGATTCGCAGCTCCCTCCGCCCGGTTTCCCTCCATCAGGCTAACGATCTCGTTCCTCCGGTAGAGCCTGGCGAGGTCGCAAGCGGTGTCCCCCTTATGGTTCCGATGCCCCACTTTGCTGGCCGTGTGCTTCATAAGGAACTCCACCACTGGGAGGTGGCCTTCTTTGGCAGCCAAGTGCAAGGGCAGGTTCCCTTCATTATCCTCGATGTTAACATCAGCTTGAAACTCCAGCAAAGTCTGTAAAGTGTCCAGGAAACCTGCTCTGGCTGCATCGTGAATGACAGCGAAACCAGTTCGGTCTTTCAAATCGGGATTAGCACCTCTAAGTAGTAGTCTCCTGGCAATCTCGGGATTTCCAAGTTTCATAACCTAGAAAAGAAGAAAAAACGGTAGAATGCTTAAAACGGTAGAATCCTTCAAGTGCTCCTACCACAAGAATATTTTAAAATACCCATTTCTCCTTCTATTAATGGAACTATTTATTTTTGGCTAAGGAGTGCTTGGAGAAGACCCATATGATGGGGTTTAAAGGGCTCAGTTGCAGGAAGGAAAGTACTAGTAGGTAAAAGTAGAAGAAAACTTCTAAAAATTGAGCTTCTATGATGGAATATCTTAAACGGTCCCCAAAGTAGGATAAATTGATCAATAAAATAGAACGAGTCCAACTTGTATAAAATTCAGCGACAACTCAGTTCTCTAGATCCCATGAAGAATTGTGTAATTTCATGAATTTATTAAATAAAAGAAACGGAATTTGAGATTTAAATAAGAGTCTTCTTTTGTTGCTTGTTCATGCTCATAAAATGTGCCTGGGGTATTAATTCTGGAAAATCATATGTGGGTAAAATTTATTTTCTAAATAGCTTCTGAAAATAAATAAGAAGAGTGAGTTTCTTTAAATCTCCAAAGAAGTGTTTCCACACACCAGACTCCATCACCTAGTGTAAAAATGATCTGTTACGAATCCAGACCTGGTATTTCCTTAAATGATTAATTTTCACAAGTTCTCTCAAAATAGATATAGCCCTAAATTTCTAAGTGTTTCTTTTTAAAATTTTTTTTTCTTTGCAAGTTATTTCATATTGACTAGTAGGTGTATTCAGGGCTTAGAATCTTTCACTTGAAATTTTAAAATGTTACTGATTATTGAGGTGTGTAATAAGCAACTGTGTTCTCCATTGCTTATGATATTGATTTATCTAAGACTAAGTTCATAATATGCCGTGTATTAGATAGGAGATGATTGTATGGCAACTGTTCTTGAAAAGAATGAAACAGTCATCATACTATATTACTTACTGTTTCTTAAAGTTCTAACTAGCCTCCTGATTTTCGAGTGAGCAAAAGAAGAGAAAATAAGATATTTAATGTGTATTTTGGGACACAGACAGCTTTGTCTTGTGGTTTGAGCCCATTTAATAATCAACTGGTGATCCCATCTTATTTCCTTTTGCAGTTATTATCAGGCATTTAGGAATAGCTATTTGTAAACTGCCAACATTTTTAAAGCTAGAATGTGGTATTAAAATTTGCTATCAGCATACAAATAATTCACATGACAAAGACTTATCTACTGTTGTTTGAATATATTTCACTCTAATAAGAGGTCTCTATTAAGCTTTCATAATTATAAAATATCTTGTAGAGCAGCATGCAATTATACAATACATATAATTTAGTTGTGGAAAAATATAGTCTCATTAACATGCCAGAAAATTTCAGCATTTTAACTGGTTTCATTTATATTTAGGTATATTCATAATAATCTAAATTTATAATAAATAGATTGCATAGGAGACACAAACATTTGTGAAATTAAATATAATCCATTGGAAAATACATACGAAGTTGATCTATCTCTTTAAAATGTTTGTTTTAAAAATAATCACAAATTAAGTAATAAAATGTATTTAGAATGGATAATATTTTATAAGTGCAAACTATATAGATGACCAAGATATTAAGCCTCCCTGTTGATAAAACCCTGCTGACTTTTAGCCCTTCCTTTGGGGCAGTGGTAAAAATGACACACTTTATTTTTCAAGAACTTCAATGAAATATATTTTTTGGTTATTAAAAATTAACACAATCTCATTTTTACCACAAGTGCCTCTAAAGATTTAGTTACATCTAACAACCTGGACTGGGAAAAATAGGAGACAGACACACCTTGGATCTTTGTGAAGGAAATGTACGATTAAGGCCTTTGATATTATCCTGATTGAAAAGCTTACACTAGGAAGGGGTGTGTGGGGGGGAGCTTTTGCAGTTGAGTTAAATAAACATAATTGAAGAAGAAAATTTGCCATCTTTCACAGAAAATAATAGTAGTGTTAGAAATTGTTTTGAAAGAATTCTTTCTTGAGTTATGACACAACTTCAGAGTCAGGATTATACATACTGAAAATAAGCCTTGGGACTCCTATTTGTGTGTGTTTCATTATATGTACTAGGACTAAGCCACAATAAGTGGGTGTTAGTATCTCGATAAGTATGTTTAATATAAACAAGATTGCAGAATTGTATTAAAAATGTTTGTCAAAACTTTTTTTTTCCCCAGTATTAATCTCCCAGTCTTCCTGTTCGTCAAAAGTCCTGTAAGATCTTATTCTGAACATGGGTTAAGTGGCTCATTCTCTGTGAGATTTATATAATCTTTTGAGTTTTCAACAGGAAAATTTTCAATATATTTAATTGGTGGCATTGCTATCATCACCGGTAAACCACCAGGTCGAAAAAGATAAAAATTCCTTTCCCCACTTAATCTACCTGAAATAACAAGATAAATAATTTAGTATCTATGCATAAGCTCCCTTAACACTGAAGCTTTTGCAAGGTTGGTGTATTCTGATTTTAAAATGTACAGACTGTATAGACTTCATCTGTTAATAGTATATCTTCTGACACTTAAATTTCTAATTCTTGTAACTAAAACAAAGCACTCTAAAAACCCTTTCCCCAATGGATTTTCAAAAACAGTTTCAAGTGTTGCATTTCCGAATAAGAATAGCTCATAAGAATATCATCAGAACTCTGATAAAGCAACTATTTGAGACTACTTTGCCATTTTTCTGTTTCTATGCCTTTCAACTAAGTTACATCATAGCATTCAGAGGAGGAAAAAATATTATCAGGTATAATACTTGGCAGCTGGACATGTTTCATTTGTTTCTTGTAAATCTAATTACTGAAAATTAGAACATACCACGGCATGACCGCAGAGACAAAAACACTACAAGCTGAGCTCCGATTAGAAAATTCAACTTTTTATTCCTCCTCAATCCTGAATGGGTGGATGGTATTACATTAACTGTGAAATGTACATCCTGTCCCCGTGCCCAGGCCACCCATTCCAAACGAGGAAAGGTCGTTTGTCAAAACTTGAAGCATTTGAAGGAAAAACACCCTCGCCAGTAGTCAAGAAAATTAACGTTAAAGTCAATTATTGGAGCAAAGTACGGAAACCACTAATAGCAGTGTATTTACTTCAAATAATAATCATAATAATGTGTTTACAGAGCTGTCTAAAAAAAAAAAAAAACCCAAAAAACTCGGCTCTACTACGACTACTTGAACATCCCCACCGTCACAAAAACATTCCAAAAATTAAGACCAAACCTGGAACCCACTTGATATCGAGGATGTTACTGGATTTGACGAGTTTGTTCAAAGTACGTCATTTTAGGGAGTTGGACCCACTTAAAGATATAAAATATGGCAACCAACTAGATTTAAAAACAGTGAAATTTTGCACCCTTGAAAGCTTAAAAGCTGTTATTCTAGAAACCCGGGTCACGTAGGCAACATTGTTGACCTGTTTTCCCCACCTCGCTGGATACCAACCTGCAGCGCAGTCCTTCCAAATCCATTTTGTGCATTGACGTTTACATTATTTTGCAACAAACTAGTAAGTTGCTCTAGGTCCCCCCTGGCAGCTGCGGACGCCAACTCGTTCCCCCAAGGCTCGGCCATTCTTTAGGGTCCTGACGATCGGGAAAAGATGAATTAGTTGTTTTTCTTTTTCCCCTTTCCTTTGCTCCTAACCAGGCTGCATGATGGCATCGGAGACTGACAGAACGACTGGGATGGTTAATCTGGAGTAGAGCTTGGTAGTAAATACTAGTAAGATCTGCCTGCCAAAAGCCCGCCCCTCGATTCACACGTGATTATTCAGCAAAACTGAGCCATTGGAGAGGGGCTCCGCTCCTCGCTTTTTAGCTTAACCCCTATGAAGAATTCTGGTGATTCAACAGAGAGACACACAGACACACATATATTCCTGGTAAATTACTCTGGGTAAAATGTAGGCAGAGCTGTCACGTACCTACGCTACAGACCTCTGTGAGGAATGTGCGCGGAGACTTAAGGGACTAGATCACGGCATAAAATACCGCGGAAGAAAAGACAGTTGGGGGGAAGAAAAGGTATTAACCCACCCTTGTTCACGGTGGTGACTTGAGCCGCGACAGCCAGAACTGCAGGGGCAGGTCCTCGGAGGGGCTCGGTGTCCATCCGTCTCGCCGAAGGGGTAGTCCTGAGTCCTCCGCTGCAGGGAGAGCGCCGCAAAGGCTGGATGCTGACGTGCTTCGGGGGGTTAAAGACGATCGCCAAAGGCAAACGAGAGTAGCAGTTCCGTGGCCCTCAAGTTACAGGTTGTAACGACTCCTCAGTGGCCTCGGCTTCTCCAGAGGAGCCTTTATTCGCGTCCGGGCCGAGCCGAGGGCTAACGCCGCGCGGGAAGGCTCCGGAGCCCGCCCGCCGCGCTGCCGCAGCCCCGCCGAGCCTCGGAGGCCGTGGGAGCCAGGCTCGGCGCGCGTCTCCGGAGACAGCCGGGCGCGCGGCGGGCCCCCGGCAAGCCGGTCATGCCGGCCCCACCGGGTCCCGGGACTCCCAGCAGCGTGAGGAAGGGGAGAGCGATGCGGGAAGCGTCTACGGGGCCCGGGCTGCTGCGGCAGCGCGCGGCAGCATCGCGGCTGCACAGGGCAGCCCACCGGTAACTTCCCGCCTACGACCGAGCCAGTTCAGACTTCCTACTGTAGACGCTCATTGAGCTGCCGCCGCTGTCTTTTCCTTCCTTTCCCGGTTTTCTGAGGGCCTCCGGAGATCGGGAGGGTCCTGGGAAGCGCAGGCCAACCTCTCAGTATGGGGAGTCGCCACAATCCCAGGGCGCAGCCAGTCCCGCTGCCCTCTCGCAGAGAGCCCAGCGGCTTCGGCGCCCGGTGCCACTTCGCCAACCTCTCGCGGTCCCCTGGCCTGTGCCCCCAGCCTACGCCGCCGACAGGGCAGCGGCCGCCAGCCAGCTGTGCCCTGGAGCCGAGCGGGGCAGCACTGCTTCCTCCCGAGCCGCAGCGCTCCCAGTGACAGTTTCTTTTGTAGCCGGTCCCCCCAAATCGCCGGTCCCTGCTCCCTTCAACCCTACAGACACTTGCGCGTCGTCCCCCTTTCTGCTCTTTTCCTTCCCTCCCTCCCTTGCTTCTTTTTACGCTCAAACAATTGCTGCTTCTGTTGCCGCTGCAGAGACGGTGCCGGTTTCTTCTCCCTTTTTTCCGACCTCATCAGCTTTTTTTGAAAAGAAAAAAATTGAGCGCTTTTTGAGTTGAAAAACCCGCCCCCATTTTAACGGCAGAGTTTTAAGGAGGCTCGGCGGAGTTGCAGCGCCGCGGGAGCGGGAAGGCCGGGCGCCGCCCACGCCCCGCCCTCCGCCCTGGTGGCGCTCTCGCTCGCCGCCTCGCGCGCCCCGCCCCCCGCCCCGCACCCTTTCTCCCGCCTCCTCGCTCCCTGCCTCCCTCCTCGCGTCTCTTGCGCCGGTTCCCACCCGCCAGCCCCGCGGCCAGGCCCCAGCTGGGGCGGCGTTCGGCCCCGCAGAGCCGGGTTTGGCCTCCTCGGGCTGGCGGGCGGGATGGAATCTGCGACGCGAAACCCCGGGCTGCCCCGGGCCCGGCGGGGGCGGGGGTGAGGGGAAGAGACTTGTTAATTAAGACGGCTGCGGAGAACCGCAGGGCCTTAGAGGCTCGGCGGCGCTGGCTGCTTGAAGGCGGAGAGCGAGCTGGCGCAAAGCGATCTTCCCCCGGCGCTGGCGGGGCAGGCCGGCCCGCCTCCGCGCTCCCCCGCTAGGCTCTCCAAGTTCGGGCGGCCAGGCCTACGCTGCTGCCGCCTCCTGTGGGGCGCGCGCTGTGTAAGCTCGGCCTCCTCTCAGCCCCGGGCCTCGGCCTCGCACCTGCCAGATCAACGTCCAGGGCCGCGGTGGGCAGAGGTGGCCGTGGGGCTGGAGGGCGAGACCCGGACTGAGCAAGAATGGTGCTCAGAAAAAGCAGAAGTCTTTTATAGACCGATTTTTACGAAAACTAGAGAGATGATTTACGTAAGAAATCATGACGAACTCTGAAGCCTTAATGTTCCAGAGACTCCAAACTGTGAAATATTCCATTTCTTCGGTGAAAGGGAGAAAAGCAATTAACTTTAAAGCAAAATTTAAAATAAGTCTTGGGAGGGGTTTTCTAACAAGGCCGTTTCTTTACTGGCAAAGTTCTCTCTTTGACTAGTTAGATGGGGGCCTATGGGTTTTTTGGTGGGGGAGGGGGTGTCTAAACGTAAAGGAATAGCCTCTTCCCTAATCGTTTATTTCAATCATCTGAAACACCAGTTCTCTCTGTACTTTTAACTTCCTCTTTTAGCTATGTAAGATTAATTAACTACTGCTTTCTATAGTTTTTGCTCCTAAAAATATCCAACACGGTTGCATGATGCACCCAGTGGTCAAAATGAAACCAAGCAAAAAAATGACAAGTCTAATTAGTACCGGCCTCTAGCAAGCATATTCTCAAACATCTGTACCCAGCTCCTTGAAGTATAAGGGGAGTATTAGCAACAACACACCAGAAACATCTGGATAATCATCTAGCAACAGATTGGCTGGTAGGTGGAGGGAGAGTGGAAACTGGGAAGAATCTGGCAGTGTTTTCTTTAACTGAATTGTTGAGGAAAAAATAACCAGAGTTCTTTTCTTAGGTAACAAAACTTGAATTGTGAATCAAGCGTGAACTACAACACAAGAAATTAACTCCTCCCTTTTCTTACATATATTTTGACATTTCAAATAGAACATTTAGGATTCCACTTATAGCAGGAAATACCATAAATAATATAATTTACTTTTGATTATTCTGGGAACTTACTATGTAATTTTTTAGTTCAGCTGGAGGGTGTGATGACATAGTAGCACTGTTGGCTGATAAGAGATAACTGGCATTAGTCCAATTTATGAGAGTTGCTTTCTAGCATTTATTATGGTTCCTTGGTAAGCGAAGATACTGGAATGAGTAAGAATCTTAAATTGTACTCGTTATGTAAAATATAGGTATACATGTGTTATAATTTTTGTGAAAATACTTTTTGCTGAATAACTGAGTAAATAAAATTTATGGTAATTTAAGATGCACAGAGAGCTGGATTAAGCTTTTTAGAGGTCCTAAGCACTGAAAAGATTTTGATGTCCTACCCGCACCTCATATATAAATAAAAATAAAACAAAACCAAAAGATAAGTGTAAAGAAGTCCAACAAAGTTCTGATTTTTTTCCCATGATGACTTCTTCAATAATTTTACTGAAATCTTAAATTCTTTCAAGAAGTTTTTGTTTTGTTTACTCTGACTTTGCCGGTGCCCTAAAGCTTATGCTTAAGTCTGCTTATTGTGTAAACCAGCCCTGGCAGCACATAAGTTGCAGTCTTAGTTTAGAGAGCCTAAGTAAGCACTACAAAGTACCTGCAATGAAAAGCTAATATTTATTGAGTACTAGTTCACTAAAGTAGATTCAAAGGTGAGTATCTCTGCCCTCAATAAGCTTACATTCTAACATGGTGTACAAGAAAGAGTCACAGTTAAGCATTTATTATATTGAAAGTAGTGATTTCTCTTTTAACATAGTAATGACATGTCTCTCAAACACTGAAACAGAGGCTTTATAGTTAGATATTAAATACTAACAGTCATGGAATTTTTTTTTCAGCAGTTCATACTAATTTTAAAAGGTATAGAAATGTAATCAAATTATTTTGTGCTTTTCCCTCATTGACTCAAATATGCACAGTTTCTGAATGATTAACTTACGGAAATGTTTATGTGGTATTTACAGTTTCTTTATCTAGTCTCAAAGTCTTCCTCGTTGTTGTGTTTATGGATCCACCAGAGGTGGAAAACAGATTGGTACCCTCAGAGGACCTTTCTATCATTTCATAATTGTGGCTTTGGCATTTTATTTCTGAGATTCAGCAAGCTTCTTCCTAGAGGTACTCAGGCTACCTATGAAAGTCTTTTTGTGAAGAAAAAAAATGCCCAGTAAGCAATTCAAAAGCTTAAACATAATAGCAACAATTAATATTTGTATAGTGTTTCATGGTTATAACATGTGATGCACACATTATTTAACAACTGTGTGAGGTAAATATGATAATCATCCCCATTTTTCAAGTGAAGGAATTGAAACTTACAGAAATTGTGACTTAAAGCCAGCAAGTAGTGGATAGGATTTGAACTCAGATATTGGGGCCCCAAATCTTATGTTTTTTCCATTACTTAAGAGTCCAGGATCAGGCACTAGGTTCCTAAAGAATATTAAATCATTAGATGAAACATATTTTTGGTTACTGAAGTGTGGGTCTAACTCTGTAGCAACATTATCTTCACATGAATTACATTATAAGCAAGCAGTATTGTTAAAAAGCTTGTTTAACTTAACCAAAGGATCAAGTTACCACCACCAGTAATAAGTCATGTTGATATCATGTGTCCCTAATATGATGTGATGAGGACACATCACTTCTGTGGTGTCCTTACCCTAAATCCATAAACTCAGTATAATTCTGAGAAAACATTAGACAAACCCAAATTGAGGGACATTCTATAAAGTTCCTAACCACTACTGTTCGAAAGTCAAGACCAAGAAACTGTCACAGATTGGAAGAGCCTATGGAAACATGATGATTAAACGTAATGTGGTATTCTGGATTGGATCCTGAAACAGAAAAAGGATATTAATGTAAAAATCTGAATAGTGTCTCTAGAATATAATTAATAGTATTGTACCAATGTTAATTTCTTAGTTTTGATAGCTGTACTATGGTTATGTAAGACGGTAGCATTAGAGGAAGCTGAATAAAAGGTAAACTATTTTTTTTGCAACTATATAACTTTGCAACTATTCTATAAATCTAAAATTATTGCAAATAAAATTTTAGCAAAATAACTACAAATAAGCTTTAGTATATGCATTTGAAAGAAAGATGAAATACAAGTTTCTTTAAAAAAAGTAATGGTAAGGTCAAAGAACATGGAGATTCTAGGAGCAGATCTATATTTGAATTAGGCTGAGCTCCATAAATTAATGCAGTGGGCCAACTATGGTAACGGGTAGATTAAAATTATTTTTCTTTGCTCATACTTATGTACAGAGAATCTTTATACATTTTTATTCTCTCAGTTTGTGACACTGAAATGAAATTGTTTCTCTTAAGGAAAGAATTCTGTGGAAATGAAAAATGAATTTTTTTTTCTCTTAATTCAGGATTTATTTTTCTTTCATTCCTTCTCTGTAGCGGACAATTACTCTGTATGCTGGGTATCCAACCATGAATAGTTAGGTCAGAGGGAAGAATCAGTCTCTTCAGGAACTATACAAACTTTGCAGCATGGAGGGTAAATTGCAGCGAGGCAATAGGGTAAGTGGAAAGAGCACTAGTTTGACCTAGCCTTGAATACTAGGTCCGTCACCTTGTGGCATGACTTTGGGCAAATTCTTAACTTCACAGAGCAGTTTTTTATTCTGTAAGATGGTTGTTGTAAGAATTAAATTAAGTGAAATAAGGTGTGTGAAGTACCTGTACATACTAGACATCCAATAAAAATAAATTCAAAAGTATTTATTATTGTGTACCCAAGACTTTGCTGTGTATGAACTATGAATATAAAAATACATGAGATGAAATGGCTTATAATCTCAATGAACTTTCAATCTTTGGGGAAAGATTAAAACATACATAGATGAAACAATTAGAGAAAAAAATTACAAAACTTACCAGAGCATTAAATTGTGTTGTAATGATAGTCAAAGCAATGATTAGAAAGGAAACGAATCCTTGTTGGCTTAAGTTTTATGAAAGAGGTGGCCCTGAGAAAAGCATCTACGAATCGGTATATAGAGTAATAGCAACTAATATGTTTGGAGAGCTTTAAGGTTTCTGAAGAGTTTTCGCAAGCATTACATCACTCAATATTCACAATCACTGAGGTAAGTTTTATAAGCTCATTTTAGAGATAAAGAAATTGAGACTATGAGAGGTTTTGTCAAGGGGCAGAGTTAGAATTCAAGCCTAGAAATGCTGACTATGCTCATTTTGAAAAATATTTTATATTTTCCATGCATTTTCATAATTGTTTTCTCATCACCTGAGATGTGAAAGTCAGAGAGACTAAGTAACCCATTCAACTAATTTCCCCAGCTAATTAGTTGGGAAAGCAGTACTAGAACCCACATGCCTGAATGTCTAGGGTATTCTTCCCATCTTTCTACATTACCACACTGTTTTAATTTCAAGAAGGAGAGCAGGGAGGGAGAAGGGGAGCAGCACTGAATCTGAATGGGCTCTGAGGTATACACCCATGTCATCACAGAAAACACCTCAACTTTTCAAGGCTGCATTAATTCTGGTCATTTAATTATAGACAATTATTCACCTGCCTTGTGCTGAGAGTGACATATATGAATGGGACAACTGAATTGCCACACTTAAATCGCTGGTACTGTATTTCACTTCAAGATTCACATTTGTGGTATATTTTGGAATTAACTTCCTTAGGGATGGCAATTAAAGAAGACACTTTAATTAATGTGACAATGGAGGGTTCTATTCCTTATCTAGCTCATTCTGGTCTTAATACAGATTATCACATGCAAGTTGTAGGCCAGACTATTCATTTAAAGAAAACACACAGAATAAACCTAGATCTTTAGAACACCGTAGTGCTCTTCTTTGTGTTCAGGGAATAGAAAGACCTAGGCCTTGAGTCTATATGGTGTTTTCCCTAGTATTTCTTTTAAGTCTACAGCATAAAATCAACAATCTTACTTAACACTTTCAGGATTTCGAATACTTTCCAAGACAAGGAAATGCTCTATTACAGTCCAGAAGATAATATTTTCTGAGGTCAAAGTTGAACATATTCCACTGTCACTCTTCTTCCAGCTGGGACGACAATTACAAACTGTCACACTTCATTGTACATAGTCTTTGGCTATTCTTGGCTCAAAGCCTGTCAATTTATGAAGAAATATAATTTCTTCACTTATGAAAGTACTTTAAATAGGCTGACTATATTAAAAGCTGGACTCAAGTTTTCCCCATTTGTAAGATGTTGTCTCAGCTCTACAAAATAAATTTGCTGCAGGAATAGAATGCTTTTTATTTCTCATAACTAACAAAAAATGCTCATCTTTTTCTTGGGGGTTGATATTGTCACCTTTTTCAGCTTCCATGTCTCTCCGTGGGAGTCTGGTGACCTCTGTGTTACTGAGAGTCTGAGGATGCAGGCATCAGAGGGCTTGGGATTGAGTGTGACAGTGTGTAAGCGGGTTTTGACAGTGAGGTTGAGTGTATTTTGTTGAAATTGTATTTTAGTGAAATTTTGTTACAGAAAATGGATATTTATGAAACGCTGTTAGACGGGTTATGAGAGTGTGTTGAGTTCGTTTGTGAGGCTTGCTTGATGTGTCTGTGTGTGACTATGTAACCAGGTAAGGCGCAGAATCTGATCCCCGCCCCAGCCTGAGGGAGGCGGTACCCCGAGGCCTTTGCTTAATTCCAAATCCAAACCGGAATAACCTGTTGCGGGACTTGAAGCTCCCGCAGTTGCAGATTGGCGTTCCGGTCGGCGGCGCGCGGATCCCCGCCCGGTAGTCGCGCGCCCAGCGCTTGACAGGAGGGCAGTCACGTGGCAGCCGCAAAGCGGCGCTTTGCGACCTCGATGACAGGCAAAATGTGCGACAGCCGTGGCGCTGGCCAACCAGGGGCGGAGGCGGTGGCTAGGGAGGAAGCGGAGGAGGCGGAGGCGGCCGTGGCGTTCGCCCGCCTGCTCGTTCTCTCGGTTTCCCCGCCCCCCCCCCCGGTCTCGCCGCCGCTGAAGGGAGCCGGGTGCCGCGCACCCTGCCCTCATCCTGGCCGGCGACAGTAAGATCGGACCCGCATCCAGACCAACCTCCCTGTCGAGGCGGCTGCGGCGCGGGCTCCGCGAGGCGCAGGCGGGCGGCCCGGGCGCCTGAAGGTTACCGAGTGCATGAGCGCCTAGCCTCCCGCGCTGCCCC